GTAGATCTCATTGATATTTTTGCATGGATATAAAGAATGTGATAAATGGAGCATGTATTAAGAAGATATGATTTTTCTAAGAAAATTAAGTTTTCGTGTGCACAAACAGCTCGTGCGGCAAGCATCGACAAAACCATGCTACCCCTCCAAAACTTCATAACATGTCAGGCCAAAAATATGCCACATCAGCATCTCCAACAAACTGCGTGGCATGCCCAGACAAGAAGCATGACATGCATACCCTCCCAAATCTATATATAGATCGTTTTCTGCTCATTATTTTCATCCCTTCCATTGCCCTAACCTTGAGTCACCTTGTTTTTTCAAGTGAGTGCGTAGTTACTTTCAACAGCATAGTTTAATAAAAGTATTTAATAAATGGTAATTTATGTTAATCATACTCTGTGCTAGTTGTATAACTATAATATTGCTGCTTACTAGGAACCATGTCTGAATCAGAATTGCCTTTAGATATATCTGGGTTATCTATGAACTTATAAAAGGTACTTAGTTCTAAATAAGTTAGACATTGGTTAGGTCTCATTCTTAGGGTAGAATGTGAGATCAGAGCGGATTGTAGTAGTCATCCTTTTCTTGGATAACCAAAAATTGTGGGTCCAGATCAGATAATTGGCAAGTATGCATGCGTCATCAACCAAAGTAGATGACAACACTTGACTATTCTAGGTTGTATAGTGAATTACGTTGCTAGTGTGTTCTTATAACCTACAGACATAGATAAAATAGGATACCATATTTATTATATACTTTGTACATTGGTTGCCTTTAGATCACATCCGCTAGCCAAGGACTCCCCTAACTGGGTAGTCAAATACTTTCTTAGATAATCCTTTAGGTAAGGTGATTCTTCCAGATGATCGTCGAATTAGGACTTGTAAGAGTCGATTAGGCAGGATAGGTGGTCTTATATCAGATTATACATATATTGTTTGTTTGAAGGAATGTTATTATACATTATCATTAATATGCCATGGGCTTGAAATCTGTATGCATCTCACTAGGTTTGCCAAACCTGACCCATTCATTTTATGTGCATCACAGGTAGCGGATGTAAGGCTGTCAAAGTCTAGTTAGCATGCTGAGAAAAATAAACAGATGTGCCAATTATAGTATTTCAGGACCATTTAATATTTACGATTTAATGTATGTTTAGATATGAACAATGACATCCTTGTAGTTTTTAATATAAAGAAATAACTTTTGTTATCTCAAAATGTTTTTATTACAGTGGTAATTAATTGGTTTTAAAAATTATGGGGTGTCACAAGAATTGTAAAACTAAGACCTTGCTCTCATTTAACAGAAGTCACTGACCATAAGGAGGCTATATCAAGCTCTGTAGCTCCTCGAACTCCAAGAATGTCCAAAATAGGACCAAAACCGAACCATCAAGGTCAAGAATGCAAATCTCAAAAGAATAAGGTGCAAGCTTTTTACCTCTAAAGGTATAGAAACTTGTAAGGGATGATGGATCTAGCCTTAATGTATGCTTCCTTTCACCAAGAAGGAGTTACTTTCTTTACTAGCTTCACAAGACAAGAGGAATTACTTCAAAATCAATCCACCAAGCTCATAACCACGGATGAGAGGCTAAGGTTTCTAAATAGAGAGAGATTGGGGCTGAAGGAGTAACCCAATCCATGAGTTAATGTGTTTATATATGAGAGAAACACTAAAAATCTTGGGTTTGTGTTGCAGTGATTGCCATGGTGTGACCCTCTTCTTGCAACATCGTAGGAACCATAAAAAAAAAACGTGTTTCATAAAACTCATGCCATGTCGTGGGAATCCATGCGTCATGTCGTCGCATAATATTTTCTTTAAAAACCCTATCTTCGGTCCCAAACTGTCTTTAGCAAATATTTATGGAAAACGGGTGTTACATTTTTCTTTAAATATAGTAAGAAAATGCAGAATTGTTTCTAGATATACCCGATTTTAATTTCCTCCAAAATGAAGATATAGACACCAAAATGCACAATTGATGGGGTTTTGTTTTAATTTTTTCCTCATATGTAAAGCTTTTACGAGTAGGTACAACAACACAAATTCTTTAACATTATTGAATTTCCAATTGTTTAATTTTCAATATTAACAAAAATATACAAAAATTTAAAATATAAAAAATTTAACCTTTAGTAAGTTAAAGAATAATAATAAAAATTCCAAATATGCTTTCTTTTTTAACATAAGGAAGTTCATTCCCTTTTTTAATAGGTCAAGTTAAATTTTAGAAACCTAGAATACCAAAAAAAAAAATTGTTTGATGATCAAATGAGATCAAAATCAATAGTTTTTTCGGCTCCAATGGAATTAACCCTAATAATACAATATACTTGCTTATAATTACATTAAAAACAATGATTGTTATTTTAAATAGTTATCAATATCAAAATTCAATAATATCTAGATAAAAAAAATTATATATTAATTAATCATAACACTTGATCGGATAAGCATATATACTTTTATTTAAAGATAAACATCGAGTAGATGTCATTAAATAATATGATTTTGGTAGATGTTAAATTTATAATCTTGTTTTAAAAATAATTACAATTTGATATATTAACATAGGATAAAAATTATTATTTCATAGTTCATGTCAATAACATAATCATTTTCAATATGTATTTTTTTAAAAATTTTAACAATATAATTTTATTTTGTGTAATGCGTAGATATCCACCTAGTTTTATACTATAACAGAAGTTGTTTGAGATGATATGGTTAAAAATAAATTGTTATCTTAATCTATATTTAGTGACATCAAAAATAACCTTTCAAATTCTTTAAATTAATGACACTCAATTTTGATATAAATTTGAATTACATCTTTTACTTCTATATTATCTAACCTATATTGTCTCATTGTATAAGTGACACTCAGTTTAATATAATTTTTTACTTTATATGATTCAAACATATTTATTAATGAGCCTTTGCCATTAAAGTGGTATAATAGGAGTAACAAAAAAAATAGTAATAGTAACAATAATAATAATTCTTTTACAGCTTAAATTCATAGAACACTTAGGAAATATTAAAATTTGTCCTGAATTATTTACAATTGAGTAAATTATAATTTTGGTCCCTAAGTTTAGCTTATTAAAGTTTTCTCTTATAATTTTGGTTTTTTTGGGTTCTTGTAACATTTTTTATCCTTGTTCCCAAAACTCTCGTCTCCTCTCCCTCACACTGGAAATCGATTCAAATGATTTTGAAAATGCTTTGCGATAGTTAGATTCTGAAACAGTGGAAAGTATCAACAGAGGTGGAAGATCTTGTTCCCATTTTTTCTCTACAAGCTAACACTACTAATGGAACCTCGATCACTGTCATTTTTACTAAGCCTCTAGGCTAGGAAAAGAGTCGGAAGTTGCAATTGAGACAACGATTCATGATTTCAACATCAAAACCAATCATACCTTCAAAACTCAAGAAACAAGCCTGGACAAGCAGCTATTGCAAGTGAAAATTGAAATATTCTTTGAAAACCACACATTTTCTTTTGGAAATATTAGCAATAAATATACTAAAGAAGTTTGATTTAGTTGTTTATCATCTCTCTTGTCACTCAAGAATTTCTTCAAACAAGTTTCGAGCTAACCCATGTATTACCACTCACATCCGGTTCAACTTTATTAGATGAAGAGCTTGACGTGATCAAGAAACAAAAATGTCAAGTCTTTGTGATTAATACGTATGTGGAACTTGGATTTGGCTCTTTCAGATAACCAAGAAGATGGACATGACAGGAGATGGGTATCTATGGGTTGCGACTAATGGAATCACGGATCTTTTTAAATTCATTAATTCCACCATTATTAGTTCACTAAAAGGTATGATTGGAGTCAAAAGCTACTTCCTTGAGCAACCATTGTACGCTCGCAAACGTCGCCAAAACCTTGCAGAAAGTTTAGAGAGAATCAGATGAAGGGTTAGTGTTCCTAGTCGATCTCTATTTAATCGGTTCGTGAAAGTGGATCATGTTACAAGCGACTTCACTGGATTTGTAGTCTCTATGTTTAAAAAGTAATCAGAAAGAGACTCTTGTGATGAATTGGTCTAACAAATACCTAACAAGGTTCGCAAGAACACACAAAAACGAATAAGTACGTAGAAAAAGAACCCATACATGTAATCGATCTCTTTTTTTCTTGATTTTAGGACATCCACAATACATTGAACTCCATAGAGTTTAATGGATTACTACATCATTTTTATATATTCCATACAACTCAATTAATTTTTTCCTACAATGCATTTAACTGTACAAAGTTCAATAGAAAGTTAGAAAAGCTAATTTATAGTATGTATTTAAGATTAAAAAACTTTCTTTTTTTCCATTAAAGAGTTCAACGACCGTTGAACTCCAAATCCATTGAATGCCAATGTAGCATCTCACTATGGTAAAGTTTCATCCATTGAATTACAACAAAATTTGTCACCTCATTCAACTCTCTCATTTAACTCACTATTATGGATGCTCTTATGCAGAATTTTGATGCAATAAGTGGTGTTTGTCTCGTGGTGTCGGCAGTGAAGGTTGGTAATGGTCTCTTGAAGATGGACATGTAAAGGGTAGGGAGGAGTTAATTATTTCTTTTTTCTTTTTTTTAAATGATTTTTAATTAAAAAAATATAAAAGAAATTAAAAAGGGTAAAAAAGTTTTTTTTATATGGGTGAGGAATAATGATGATAGAATTTTAAAACCATAGGGATCTTTTATGAAGAGAAACTATATCTTAGATTTTAAGAAATTTGAGAAACCACTGGACCATTTATAAGTTTTGTTTAATAATACTAAACTACAGTTTAAAATGTAATGCATGTCTTATTAATTACGTTAAATTAATTGTATTCCTTCAATTCAAAGCAAAGAAAATGATGAAAAATTCCATTGACTTCACACGCACTTGATCTTTTCCTATACAAAAACAAAACACTTGAAAACCAAAAATCAAAAACCAAAAACATGATAGGTTTTGTATGCGGCTGTGGAACCTCCACAACGACCCTTGTGTTCATCATTTGCATTTGGGTTCCATTTGTTCAAGCCAAGAACATGTTCTTTGCGATCTTATCGACCATGATGTTGATGTTTAATCTAAATGATCATCATGATCGTGATGAGGACCTCTGGAACATCGTTTCAAACACCTACACTCTTTCAGCTCTTCGATTCCGTAACGTAGTTGTCGCAGACAATAGAGCCGCTATGAGAGTTGTTAACGACACGTGCACTATTTGCCTAGCTAAGTTTAGGGACACAGATACAGTGAGTCAAATCAACAGGTGTCGTCATGTATTCCATACATGTTGCATGGCGAGATGGATAAGTGGGGACAACTTCAGTTGTCCACTTTGTAGATCTAATATGTTTGATGCCGCATGCTAACAAGCTGGGAAAAAGTTGTCACGTATGTGGGAGCCTAACGGGTTGAAATTTCAGCATTCGATAAAAAATGTTCAAGGTTCAAAACGTGTCATACTCAAAATATTGATGGTGCTTTGTGATTTTACTCCACGGTGATTGGTATAACACATCCAAGTCCTTCATTTTTTCTTCATTTTGGAGGCACGTTTGATGAGTTGTGCAATACAAGTTATTACACATTCTTAAGATTCTAGTTGAAGATTGATATGTTGATTATATCTTTATATTAATGGTTGCGTAACCCGAACAATAGTAGAGACTTTAGAGTCTGTGACGACATTATAATTAACTTTGTTGAATTAGATTTTTGAAGCTTGGGTGATGAGTCGATTGTAGTTTTAACTTGAGGTGTTATTTGAACATTTTATAAATTTATATAAAAGTCTAAATTATATTATGAGATTTGATTTTTTATTATTTCTCGGGTAGATGTAATATATTGTGTTTGTAGAAATTTGCGTTTTTAACACTAACATGCAGATGCTAAGATTAAAATTATAGGAAAAAAAAAACAAAATAAATAAATAAATAAAACGGAATAAATAATTTACTATATGATTTTGATTAAAAATATAAAGTGGTCATTAATTTACAAAATCTGATTTTTTTTATTCTTTTTTTTTTTTTTGTTAAATTCTTTTGATAGAAATGTTGGGTTAATCTTCATGGTTTGGATAAAATACGGGTCAAGTCGGGTACGGTTCCTTTGCATGGGTCATCAATATCCTGCATGTTAATGACTTAGTCTAGAGTTAACCGAATTTTTTGGACTTCAAAGTAAATGGTGGAGTTTGTTGTTACTCATAAGGAAAACGTGGGGTGTTTATGAGAATGTGTTTTTATTGTTTTGTTTGTTCTAAATAGATAGCAATAGTAAATGTATTCAGGAGATAATCAGATTTCGTGAAATATATATATATATATATATATATATATATATATATATATATATATATATATATATATATATATACAAATTGTTGTTTTGATCGATGTTCAAAAGAGTGAGTGAGGGCATGATTTCCAGCATTTGGTATCAGAGCCTAGGGCTCGTTTAGAAGAATCAGGTTTGTGAGTCGGTGGCGAGAGAGGAGGAGCATCCCTTGGCTGCAGAGTTGAGAACAAAAGAAGAAGACGCTGGGGTGATTTCATGTTAACCACATGAAGAATTGAAGATTAGCTACTACAGCAGCGAAGGCTGCTAGAAAGAAAGAAGGAAAGAAAGAAGAAAGAAAGAATGAAGAAAAAAAATAAGAAGGATGAAGAATGAAGAAAGAAAGAAAGAAGAAAGAAGTCTGGTTACTTTTGGTTATCAGAAGAAGAAAAAGGAAGTAGCAAACCCTTGTCATATGCTAGTAGATTAGAAACAAAACATCAAGTAGCAAGAAAAGAACGCCGGTAGCAAGAAACAAGAAGAAAAGTACCAAGATCAAGATCAAGATTATTAGATTAAGGGGGTGAATGTTGGGTTAATCTTGATGGATTGGATAAAATACGGGTCAAGTTGGGTACTGATCGTTTGCATGGGTCATCAATATCCTGCATGTTAATGACTTTGTCTAGAGTTGACCGAATTTGTTGGACTTCAAAGTGAACGGTGGATTTTGTTGCTACTTAGAAGGGGTGTTTAAGAGAATGTGTTTTGTTTGTAATAAATAGGTAGCAATAGTAAATGTATTCAGAGGTAATCAAATTATGTGAAAGTAATATATATATATATATATATATATATATATATATATATATATATATATATATAGATTTGCTGTTTTGATCAGTGTTCAAAAGAGTGAGTGAGGGCCTGATTTCCAACAAGAAATTAATATCCAATTAGTTGAGAGATTTAGAATGTATTTTCTATATAAAATAGACGAAATCCTTAAAATGTTGGCTTAAATTTGTCATCTCATATTTAGTTGCTTCCTATGAAATTTGTATCATTTTGAAAAAACAACATAAAATTTGAGCTATTTTATGACATATCATTAGTGAAATTGCAAGATTAACCGTTTTTTAAAAATAAGAATAACCATACATTTAAAAATATAATAGATATCCCGTTACAAGAATAACATCATATACCGACAACACTTTTTGACCATTTGTCGATGACATCTCATCGGGTTAGAGTCGTCGGCATTGCTTCATCACTGAAGGTGGAAATTGTCATCGGGATAGGTGTTTGTAACATCTTGATTTTCAGGTATTTTACATTTTGATCCTTGGTATGAGTATTACTTGCAAATTTGGTCATGTTTGACGTTTTTTATAAATTTTTGGAGTTGCTTGAGTATGTTGGGTGTACCCAAACGTACGTAGCCTGGACCAAAACCCTAATATTTAGGGTTTGTGCACTATTTATACATCCTTAACTCTCAAGGCTCCCTTCATTCATCGAACTCCAGTCTCATATTCGACCCTTGCAAACCCTAATCTATTTTTAGAGCATCTTTGAGCCTTGAGTGTCTATTTTGGTGATCTTGAAGGCGGGAGAAGGAAAAAGAGACCATTGTAGAAGAGTGAATCACTTTGGATCCAGAAATACATAAAACCCAATAATTATTATGTATATAACTTGTATATAATCCAAAACGTTATGGGGGTCATTGCACCCTGGCCCTATAGAGGATCCACCCATGATCTTGATTAGCCATGGATTGTGTTCAATTTGGTACCATAAGCTTGATGTATTTGTTGGATTTGGTGTCCAAGCCCATAACTATAACTGGAATGTACTTGACTCGATTGTAGCATGTGATGGGTTTTGAGCATTCTAACACTCCTATGGTGTAGATGCAACCCTAGAAACCTTGGATCTATGTTTTCTCTAATATACATGCAAATTTGATTTTTCCAAGGTTCTCATCCTAACTAGCATGGCATGGGGTACTTGTATTATAAATAACTAGTAGAATGACATACTTTTCTTGTAGCTTGGATTCCTTAAGAGCTTGTAAGCCTAGCACCCCAAATGTGATGCCTCAAATGTTTCACATGACACTACAACTCTTGGAATAACTTGAGATAAGAACACTTGTGCACAAATTCAGCTAGCCCTCACCTTCTTGTCTTAGTCGCCGATTTTGCTTGCAATGAGGTTCCTTATATAGTGTGTCACATGTAGGGTTACACCGTGCAAACCATAATGTGCATGGCTTTTCATTTCCTCCATGATCCATGGGTTTTAACCTCCATGGAGCACCCTATGGGTTTTAGCCTAATCCAATGAACCAAGGATCATAAGCCCACTATATAAGAATGAATGATTTACAAAATCAATCCTCATATATTTAATTAGTCTCTTTTGATCACAAAATTAATTCCAAATTAATTCTTGATCAATACTAATTAAATAATATGATTTCATATTAATATATTACAACTTATAATATATTAACAAATCATAAGTGTCCTTATTCTCATTTTTCTATCCAACTGTTATGATGCCATGCAACCCAAATGGACCATGCCAAACCGGGCCAAGTACATACTAGATATAGTTATGGACTAGACACCTTATCCAACAGTCTCCCACTTGGATAAGTCTAATAACTATAGATGCAAGTATGACTTCTGGATCCGATCAGCAATCGTAGCTCTTTCAAAGTCTCGCGGAACTAAGATGACCTGCCATTTAAGATAGGTGATCATATAATCCTTTATTCAAGACATCAGCCGGACAAATACATGGAACAATGTCGTACTTATTGACAAACAGGTTGTTTCCCGATTTCCGATTTGTTTGACATAGAACTTAATCGACACATAAGTCAAAACAAAATCATGGAGGGGCCCAAGATATCACTTTTAATCCTCCAATGACTAAAAGGAATAGATAAACTTCAACTCATATGCTTGTACTAACTAATCATCAAATTCAACACAACAACATGTTTTATAACATCACGTTAGTGATGCATTTTCGTACTATCAATGTAGGACCAAGTCATACTCCACAACTTATATCTCTTGCTTTGAAGACTTATATGACATTACCATCTCACGATCACTCGAGATAAATTCCATGAAGTGATACAAGTGATCATGGGTTGGATCTAATACTCGAATCCCCTTCCAGGAGTACTCATGAACACTGCAGCCCCTTTGTCCCAGACAAACTACAGACTCATTTATGATAGTCTTGCCTCATTACCTACTTCCAAAGTATGATCGACTGTGGATAGTTTGAATAATATGATATACCATAACATAAATATTTTGGAAGTCGAAACATGCAAAGTTGAAACAACAGTAAACGATTGACATAAGATAGTAACGCATTACTCATAAATAAATAACACATTTTATTTAATCATCAAATGTCAATTACACTTTACAGGATTCAAAATCTATCTAGTTACTAAAACTAATATCATCCTTCAGCCCAATGCACCTCGCATGCTTTAAATGCTTAACCCTACGTAGTCCCTTCGTGAGGGGATCTACTGGGTTCTCATCTGATGATACCCTCTTTGCCACGACGAGTCCTTCTTCTATTCGATGTCTAATGAAGTGGAATTTTCTGTTAATGTGGCTGGATCTGCCGTGATCCCTCGGTTCCTTGGCTAAGGCAACTGCACTTTCGCTATCACAGAAAATCTCCATAGGCTCCTTTATAGCTAGTACAACTCCAAGGTCTCTAATGAAGTTCTTTAATGATATCGCCTCATTTTCCGCCTCGCTTGTTGCTATGTACTCTGATTCGCACGTTGAATCAGCTACTGTCTCCTGCTTGGAGCTTTTGCAAGTAATTGCTCCTCCATTTAGGGTAAACACCCAGCCTGAATAAGAGCGGAAAATTATCCCTATCAGTCTGAAAGCTAGCATCGCTATACCCCACTACTCTAAAGTCATCACTCCCACCGAGGGTAAGGACCCCATCCTTAGTCCTTCGTAGGTACTTGAGAATGTTCTTTACCGCAATCCAATGAGCCTTGTTAGGGTTCCCCTGATATCTATTG